AAAAAAGAATGGTTCTCCTTTAGAACTTTAGGGACCCAAGTGGGGTTCTTTTTATCAGTCTCTGGAAATGGGCTCATACTTCCAATTTATAAGGGTCATGGGGAAATAATTAATGTACAGTGGGAATTAAATCCTCAGACACATCTCAGTCTTCTCTTCTTGTCTGTACTGATTGGAAGGCAAACATTTGGAAAAAGAGGATGCCATAGAAAATGTAAACCCCATATTCTATGTGTGTATGGAATTCTCAAATTAAAAAAAAAGAAGAAAGAAAGAAACAAAGCAGAAAATAATGTTGACCCAGCCCCAGGAATGAGTTGGCCATCCAGTATTGCTGGGACGAATGCTAACATCACAGCCACAGTTTTAAAGTAGATTTTTCATTTATCAAACACTTAGCTCAGGCTGTATCTTAACCCACCATTGACAAATGCCTTCTGAGAACACAGTACACAGTTTTGAAAAACCTCATCCAAGCAGTATTTATCTCTTCAAAGGCAAATCCGGGACACCGTGAACTGGATATTCAGCGAGCAGATGCTAGTTTACTACATTAGTACTTTCCGGGATGCTTTTTGGCCAAATGGGAAACTGGCACCTCCAACAAGAATCAGAAGCGAAGCACAAAGTCAGGAAACGAAACAGAGAGCACAGCAAAAGCTGCTAGAAAACATTCCAGGTGAGGCCTGGGGGGGGGGGGGGGGAGGGGGGGGGGGAGAGAGGAAGAGAGAGAAAGAGGTTGGAAGAGAGGGAGGTTTGAGAATGTCATCTTTGAGAGGCTTTCCCCCCCCCCCCCCCCCCAGGAAACTGCTTCTCCTCCCCTGCTCAGAGATACGGGAAAAGCCTTAACAGGAACTTTTCATTTCAGAGATGTTTAGAGTTATTATCATACTTTATGCTTTAGAGATCAGACTAAAGTTTACCATGAAACTTTACAAATGTACTTAAAAACACACATATAGTTTAATTACTAAAACAAGTAGTAGCAAATGCTAAAATTGTAGTCTTCAAAAATGTTCTTTGTTAAAAAAAATTCTAAAACTTTTGTTTTAAATGTTCAAGAGGACTAACCAATGATGTCAGTCAGACGAAGCTTCGTGCTTTACTTTCTGTGTGTTGTACAGTGTCACTTGAGGACAGAAACAGTTTTTTCAGATCTCAGGATACAAAGCACTTGCCAGCATGCCTAATATTGTCAACTTGACAGAAACTAGAATCTCTAAGAGACAAACCTCTGGCCGCTGGGCATGCCTTTGGGATTTCTGATTAGGTTAACTGAGGTAGGGAGCTCCACTTTAAGTGTAAGTAGTATCCTAACAGGGTGAGGTCCTCTTCTGAAGGAGAAGGTGGGCTGAGTATCAACGTCTGCTGCTCTCAGCCTCCTGACTGGAGCAACCTCATCAGCCTGCTTGGGCTCTGGCTGCTGTTTGAGCCAAAATAAACCCTTTCCCTGTACACTGCTTCATCAAGAGTGTTTGATCACAGGCAATGGAAGATAATGTGCACAGCCCTGAGTCTAACCCTCAGCAGTGCAACAGGACATGTTTCTTTTCCCAGATACACTTCAGAGCCTTGTTGGACAGCAAAACGCTCGCCATGGTATAATAAAAATATTCAAGGCGCTGCAAGAAACAAGGGCCAACAAGCACCTGTTATATGTGAGTAAATAGCCCCCCACCAGGACTCTCTCCTTATTGAATTGTATATTTCTGTTTGCACATTAGGATAACTTAGTCCTTTGCCTTCTGGACTACTTTTATTACTTTTAGCCCTGAGCTTGTGTTTTACGTATTGTTTTGTCTGTCCTCTCATTTGACTGAGAGTATTAAGGGGACGCGGCAGCACTCGGCAGACAGTCAGCTGTCTGTTGGCATCTGAGTTAACATCTCTGCATGACTGTGTGCTTTCTGTTATTTCAGCAAAAGCAGCTATTTTCTGTTCATTTTTCTGATTAGAATTACCATCAGCTAGGTGTGGGGGTGTCTACAGTCCATGTACTCAGGACAGAGGCCCATGTGGGCTACCTGACATCTTGTCTCAAACAAACAAACAAAAAAAAGTGAAGCCAAAGAGTAAGTATCAGTCTATCATGTGACAGACGGTTGGCCGTGTCTAATCTATCATGTGACAGACGGTTGGCCGTGTCTAATAGCGCATGGGGTAAATCGGGTTTGTATAGTCTGATCTTTTGGGAGCCACCTGTCTACTGAGGATGATCTCAGAATTCTCGGTAGACAGCTCTCAGACACCCTTCCAGGCTCCTCTTTGCCTTTCTCTCTGGCAGGTGCTGATGGAGCTGCTGCTGACGGAGCTCTGTCCTGAGCTGAGAGTGCACCTGGAACAGCTCAAAGCTGGTCAAGTCTGAGAGCACACGAAGCCACCGCCAGAGAAATGTCTGTGTAAAATAGACATTAAACATTTTCCTCTTTTGCACAGAGGGCCTGACAAGAACCATACTGATTTTTATTTCCGTGCCTCCCTCTAGTTTTATGGGAAGTGAGCAGAGTCAGGGGGAGGAAGACTGATGCTGTGGTAGGCGATAGAAACAGACTTTAAAGCTCAACATGCCGACTAAAATGCAAATGTTAATATGTGATAAGAACATAGGAAATATTTTAAATATTTATGAGAACAGTTTTGTTGTTAAATGACAAACTCTGAATATTGTACAGTTAATCTCCTCACTGAGGATTCTGAACATTCCTGTGTCTCACATGTATTGAAGACCACTGTTGTGCAATGCTTGGTGTAAAGTTATTGTGAAAATTTTATTGTTTTTATTTTTACCAAAGATTTCCCATAGTTTGAAGCATTTGAAGCAATAAAATATAAAAATGAATCACGGTGCTCAAAGGTATTATGGCTTGAGTTACCAAAAAAGCTTGGGCCCTCTGCAACTCAGATTTGCTGAGAACCTTTTCAGAGAAAGCTTTGTCCACTGAGAACTTCTGCCAGAAGGGTAACATTTGCTACCTGATTTTTAGTACATGTAAAGGCCAGACTGGTGAGGTACTGGGAAGATAGGCTGTGAGCTTAGCTTGGGAGAATTAGCCTCAAAGACAGGGAAGCAGAAGACGGAAGTTACTTCATGGAGTTGAAAATTCTGTTAGATCCATAAGTCTTTGCACTATGAGGGTGTTATGTGAGGTCCAGGGTCTGGACTATCCCAGTGATAGTGGGACCATGGACGAGTCACTGAATCGATATTCTTGAGCTTTGTCATCTGTTAGGCAGTAATAACCATGCACCATCCTTTCTCTAGCTTCTAGAAAGCAAAAGGCAAAACTGCAATCTGAATAAAAGAAAAATTAGGCTTATTACGCTACTAGCTTGCAACTGACAGGTTCCTGAGGCATCACGGTTCTGAAAGATTTAGGATTACCACATATAGGTGTCATTGAGGGTCTAATCAGAGTACCTGAAATTTAACATTCCACATTAGGTTCCCATTCACGCATGGCTTAGTACCAAACACAACACCTGTTGTTGTGATGTGGATGAGAATGTCCCCTGTGGGGCTCATGGATTTGAACAATCGGTCCCTGGTTGGTGGTGCTGCTTTAGAAGTATAAAGTTGTTAGAGGAAGTATATCACTGAGGCAGGCCTTTCTTACCCCACCCCCACCCCGTGTTCCACCTCCTCTTGTCTCAGAGTAAGATCTCAGCTTCCTGATCTGCACCCATGGCTTCCCCACCCCCACCATGACCTCTGACCCTCTGGACCTTAAGCAGAAGCACGCCATTTCTTTGATAGGTTTCCTTGGTCATGGTGTTTTATCATAGTAACAGAAAAGGAGCTAATGCAACTTGTTAAATTTCTAACAGCTTTGGAAACGTGTTTCTTTTTTACTTTACTATTTTCAGTGTTAGGAAATCAAACATGCCAGGCAAATGCTCTCACCCGTCCCTACGCTTCCATCACTGAGACTTGATTTCTTTTTATTTGCTGGTATCTTTCTTTTACCAGGGATTGAATCCAGGGTCTTGTCAAGTGCCTTACTGCTGTGCAACGTGACTGTTGCTTTTTAAAGGTTTTGTTTTGAGACTGGGGTCTTGCCAAATTATCCAGACTGGCTCCAAATTTATGATCCTCCTGCATCAGCTTCCCAAGTAGCTTTACTTATTATTGGGTACCACCACATCTTACTCAGGCCTGCACTTTCTTTACTTTTCTCTTTCTCTTTCTTTTCTTTTCTTTTTGCCTCCCCTCCCTTCTTCCCTTTCCTTTTCTTCCCTTTCCCCTTTCCTTTCCTTTTTTCTTTTCCTTTTTTTCCCTTTTTCCTCTCTTTACTTTTTCCCTTTTTTCTCCCTTGCCCCCTTTTTTCCTTTTTCTTTTCCTTTCCTTCCTTTCCCTTTTTTTCTTTCCTCCTTTTTCCCCTTTTCTCCTTCCCCTTCCCCATCCTCCCCTTCCCTCCTTTCTCCCTTCCTTTCCCCCTTCCTCCTTCCCACTTACAGGGGAAGGCCTTGTTTCTGGGATGGTTACAGATGGTAAGTTATGGGGAGAATTCAGAGATGCAGAACTACAAAGTTCAAGTACAGTAAGTGTGCAAGGACATAACCAAGGCCAGGCTCAGATACAGTAAGTGTGCAAGGACATAACCAAGGCCAGGCTCAGGTACAGTAAGTGTACAAGGAGGTAACCAAGGCCAGGCTTCCCATTCATTCTGCAGCGGCTCCAGCAGACGCCACCACACTCAAATCCCTTTTTCTCACTATTCAGAGATTTCATTTTAATTTACCCACCATTGCAAATGGCATTATATGGCTCAGTGGTTCAGAGCACTGGCTGTTCTTCCAGAGGACCCAGGTTCAATTCCCAGCACTCACATGGCAGTTTACAATCATGCTCCAGGGGATATCTCTCTCTCTCTCTCTCTCTCTCTCTCTCTCTCTCTCTCTCTCTGTCTGTCTCTGTCTCTCTCTCTGTCTCTCTCTGTCTCTCTCTCTCTCTCTCTCTGTGTGTATGTTTCATGCACAAATATACATGTAGGCAAAACACTCATACACATAAAATAAAATTTAATTTTTCAAAGGAAAATGACATTGGATTTATAAATAAAGTCACACCAGCTAATATGCTGACAAAAGGGGAATTAAGATAACCTTAAAACCTATTGTTTTTAATACATGAAACATAGTTTTCACAAATATGGTACTACACAATTAAAACATAACTTTTACTGTTTTCCCTGTCACCATTTTCTTTAGTAGATTTCACTGACAGTAAGACAGACTGTTGTTAATTACATTTTCTTTCTTTGTTTCTGAGAGTCTCCTTATACCCCTGGCTAACCTCAAACTCAAAAGATACCCACCTGCCTCTGCCTTCCAGTTGCCACCTAGCCTGCTAATTTAATTTTTATACAATATTTAGATGTGTGTCGCAAACATAAGGAAAAATGTCTGCTAATTAATTTCATAAGTATTTAGAAGTTTCTTCAAAGTGAAGGAGAGAGTGACGAGAAAATCTATAAAATAGGAAAAATTCTTCCACAACTAATAATAACTTTAACATCTATGCTATACAAAGAACTACAAAAATTAAACAGTAAAACCGAGAATTACCAACCAAGTAGATGGGCAAAATTAACTACATGTTGCCCAGCTGTATCACTCCTGGGTGTGAGTCTAAAGGATTCGGACCACACACCACAGAGATAAACATCCATGTTTATCTCTGCACTATTCACAGTAGCTAGGAAATGAACCGGCTTACATGTCCATTTACAGATGAATGGAGGAGGAAACGGTGAAGCCAGTGCAGTGGAATCTGACGCATCCATAAGGAAAAAACGACATACTTTCATGAAAATGGATGGAACTAGAAGCCTTTATGTTAAATAAGACTCTGAAGGACAAACGCATGTTTTCTCTGACATGGAGCCAAGATTTGAAGATGTGTGTATGTATAGAGCAGTGTTTGTATTTATCTGTGTGTATTTATAGCTCATGAGAATAGAGGAGCATAAGAGGAGACAATCCTGAGGGAGGCGGGAACTAAGTATAGGAGAAGGGGAGATTAGCTGGGGAAAGGAAAGGGGCTGTCTGTGGGGGTGTGGCTCAAGGAGGGAGGTAACTGAGGGAGGGGAGGGCTATCTGTGGGGGTGTGGCTCAAGGAGGGGGGCAGTGAGGGAGGGGAGGGGCTGTCTGTGGGGGTGAGACCCAAGGGAGGGAGGGCAGTGAGGGACAAGGTGAGACCACACATATGAGGATATCTTAATGAAATCCATTTCTTTGTGTGCTAACCTAAAAATCTGCTTATTAAAAAATCTTTTATAAGTATGCTTTCTTAGGCTAGATTACAAAACAATATTTAGATGTAGTTCTTAGGTTAATACTTTTTATGAGATTTTTCCATATTTTATCTTGTATACAAATGTTTCTAGGATTTACAAAAAATGTAGAAAATGAATTCAAACAAAAGCATATTGCTATAATTCTTCATCTAGGGGTCTTAATGGTTCGTTAAATTAAGATCTTTGAGGGCATATTTGGAGGGACATGATACTAAATAATTTTTTTAAATTTACAAATTAGCCAATTATCTATAAGAATCTTTAAATAAGTTATAGAAACACCATACACTTTGTACAAAAAGGATTTGAAAGTCTAATTGTTAAATTTTCTTTGGCCTTCATTTAATTTCTGAAAAATTTTAGATGACTAAATGTATTTTAAATTAGCAAAATTCATAAAACTTAACAAGTGCTAAAGAAAACATAAGAACTAAACTTTCAAATTATGTTTTTAAGTTGGCAGCACATATACTTTGGAAATCACAAAACTCAATTTGTACTAAGTAGTTACAGACACTGCATTTAATAAGGTAAAGAGGTATTTGCTCTTGGCATGCTTTCAAATTCATACAATCCAGGCCACTCTACAAGCTAAGAGACTGGTCTCTGAATACTCTTCCCAGCAATTTGATTGGTGTCTAAATTTTAGTTTGTAAAAATTGCAGAATACAAATATAGTAACAAAACTAAAATTTTTGTAAAATACCCCAGATAATATAACAGGGATCAGACGTTGCTGCTGTGAATATTTAACACACATTGTTTCAAATTAGAATTGATGGTCTTTGTTGAAATGCTTTGTGGTCTAAATTCTTTGAAGGAATGCATTGTGGTCTAAATTCTCTGGTGAATAAGTAAGGAGTGAAGTTCATCTGCCAGTGTAGGGTTCAGACGGCAAGCCTTAAAGAGAGAAGAGAGTTGAGTAGTTGATAAATTCTCATTGCTTGGTTCTTCTGTCTTTAAAAATAGACAAACATAAATATATAATTTTAGAATTAAAAGTAAAAATAAGAATTATTAAAACAAGAGAAATAGACATCAATTTGGACTCAATTATGTAATCAGCTGAATCTATAATAATTTTAAAGTATAAACTTTTGTTATGCCTAAGTAGTGATAAGGGGCATGATTCTCTTCAGTGCCCAGGACATTGGTCTTACAGGATTTGTTTAGTTGTTATCTTCTAAGAGAAAACTTTCATATTTGTTTCTGAGACAGTGAAATCAAAAGGGTCTTCTTTACATTAGGCTTGCATTTTCCTGAACATATTTTATAAACATTGTAGATCCTAGGAGAATACACAATACCTAGAGAAGCCTAAAAAGCCAAGTCTAGCCTGACAGTGAGCGGAGAGCAGACATAAGTCCTGGCCTGGGGTTCGGCCATCTTACTGCCCTTCCTATGGTGTGGCACCAACTCCCCTCCCTCTCTGCCAACACCCCCAGTTGAGAATCCACCACTGTCAGGATCCCTTCAGTATAGCTCTCAGTGAGGTATACTGTTTCTTTTCTCACACCTCATACAACTCCACTAGTTGGCTGCATCTTCGTGATCTCCACTTCATCAGTATCCTCTGTAGTATGTGATGGCCTAACCAGGTACTGTGTTCTACCTGCCATGATGGAACACAGCAACGGAGCTACTGTCTCCCAAAAGGTGGGAAACAATTCTGATATTGCTGTTGGTTTACCGATTTTCCAGGCTGTTTATACCAAATATCCGGTCATTCTGAACTAGATGCGCTCCCATACTTTATCTACAATGGCATACTATGGATAATCTAGAACATGAAATTGCATTGGTTTTGAAGATTTGTGGTGCAGAAAATATTTAGATTTTGTAAAAAGTCACTTTGTTCACACTCCTTACTTGCCACGATGGTGTGGCGGTAAATACCCCTAGACACCAGTTCTATTTGTTACTTTGGAAATTTGTTTAAAGCACAGTAGTTCTAAACTGTGTGCACACTAGAATACTCTAGAGAACTTTGGCAGATATGGTGGTATTCTACTCCCAGAGACTATAAATTAATTCTTCTGAAATAAGGCCTGGCACTAGCCTCTAATTCCAGAATCTTCAGAGGCCACAGCGGCAGAATTGCCATGAGTTCCGGGCCAGCCTGGGCTACACAGCAAAGAACTACATGTAGAGGTAATTGTAATGCCATTCTGATTTGTGCTCATGAATATCATGGACTGCAGGCATGAATAACTTCCTGTTTTAAAATTCACTACAGTTACTATTGTAATAGGTATCCGCCAGCCCCACCCAAGAGTCTTCCTTCTGAAAGTGAGCACATGAATTAAAAAGGGAGAGGGTAAATGATTACCTCATACTCATGAAACTTTGTCATGGAGGTATTATTACTTTAAAAACCTTCATTTAATGACAATATGAGAGTGAAGATATAGGCTTGAAATGTTTTTTGTTGTTGTTGTTGGGTCTTTTGTTTTGTTGTGAAGACAAACATTTAAGCCCTGGGGACAATGACAGGCTTTTAGTTGCTTGCTGATAGCAGCAGATTTGAGGGGAATAATTTACATCAAATTGTAACTTTTATCATCGGAGCTTAATTACATTGACAAAAATCTATCAGAGCTGAGTGAACCTGCACAGAATCACCAGGGACGTGTTATCTGCACAGTGATTAGAAAGCCACCCCAGAGAGCGGTTCCACTCTCAAGGAGAAGGCTGTGGTTTCTAGTTAGGAAAATTTGTTTTGTCCCCAGACTTACTTTAGAATAATAGTGCTTGGCAGATGCTTCATCTTTTGTAATGCCCAAGCCAAGCTGGAGACACCGAGCATAGTAGAAAGACGCCATGGCCATGCCTTTGCTGATAAACTCTGGGAGACAGTCCGTGACATGGGCTATCATGGGGATGTCGTGAACCTCATCATAGTCCGCTATCCTGAAGGGATGTGAAATTGTGAGATTTAAAAGCATACCAGACGTGGTTTATGTTAGCACAGAACAACCTATGGAAATTCTGTGCTCAAAGTGATGTCCCTGCGCTTTTGAAAAGTTTGCTGTGTGGTGAGGTTAATGTAACATAACCCGCTAATAGCAGGGAAGGGTGAACCAGATCCCATCTTCCTTGTGGAAATACTCATAGGGGTTATCCGTTAGAAAAATACTTTCCTTATTAATATTTTAAGCATAAGTATCATCTTGTGAATAAATAGACTAGGAGTTATAATTCTATAATCCCTGTTTAGGGGCACAGTCCCTTAATGACTGAAGTCCCTAGGGAATGTGTATTTTAACATGGGCACAGCCATGTCTGGAACTCCAAGGCCACAGACCTGTGGGACAATTGGTAAAGCTGTTAAAACATTTGGCCAGGCTGAAAAGACATGGCAAAGGTTTCCTCAGCTGTCCAAGTATGAGTGTTTATGGATGACTGACTGGTGTGTGCAAAGACTAGCCACTCCAGCTTCCTCCTCCGCTCAGATCTTTGCAGCTGGAGACTTCTCTGTACAGATACTTCCGAGCCAAACACCACCCAGAAGTGTTAGCAGAGCCCCACCAGATACCAGCTTCACTGTACGTGTACCTGTCCTTGTCCATTTCCCTGATGCTCTCACCGGGATCCCATGATCCAAGCTGCTAGTTGTCTTTTGCTACTTCTGGGTTTTTTCTTCCACCCTTCTCTACCCTTTCCCCACCCTTCCAAACTCCTAACACTGATAAGAGAAAAAAAAAAAAGAGAGGAAAGGAAAGAGATCCCTGAATAAAGGCAGGGGCTAGAAAGGGGGTGACATTATCATTAGAATACTTCCTGCACATTAGGGGCACTGAGTTCCTTGGGGCAAGTTTGATCTTTGCCATCAGGATGTCTAATTCTTTTTCTTCTTTGTGCACAACTACTTAACAAACTGTGACTAACAACAACCAACCAACACACCACCAACCAACAAATCACCTCTTGGGCCCAAGCATTTGTATAACCTCAGAAAAGTACCCAGAATTCCAAAGATCACACAATCACAGAAACTTTCTGCAGCTGGTGCGCGAACACACACACACACACACACACACCAAAGAAGTCGATGTAATAAGGATTGTGAGAACTGTTGAGAATCTCGGCCAGGAGGAGCACTTGCTAGGACTGTGGCTGTGGCTCCTTCATGGCCTACTGTCTGCAGGGTACCATGTTCAGGAGAAGGGGAGAACGGTTTCCTTACTTTCATCTTCTCTCAATCTGTCACTCTCTGTGGTTAGTGGGCTCAAGACTGGGACATAGATCAGCACACCCATAGTCTAGTGGCCACTCTAGATTGCCCTGAACTGGTTTTCTTAGTCTGTTACTGCTTTTGTACAGTATGGATAAATATATGTAAGGAGACAGAGGGCAGCTTTATGGACTCAGCAGAGTTTCCAAAGAATTCATAAAACATTTGTTTGGGTCTTTGATCAATACCATCTATGAGCCACTTTACAATCATGAAGCATTTTCTAACCACACAGTGATTTTACTGCATGACTGGGGAATATAGAGAGACCAAGAATTCTTAATCGGCAGGTCTAAAGTTGTGTTTACACTGAGAAACCCACTTCAGCTAATAGCTATGAAATCCTGAAGGTGAATGGTACAGAATTGTACTTTCCAATGTGGTCGTAACTAACCACATTGGCTATTCATTAAAAATGTAACTGGATTATATTTTCAGTTCTCACTGGCATCTAAGGTCATCCAGCAGCTGTCATCTCAATGCTGCAGGAAGTTTTGTGGCAAGTAGTTAATGCCAAGATAATACCAAGGACACCAAGATAAGTCCCTCTGCTCGTCATCCAAACATTACCGTGGTTCAAAAATGTCCACTGCAACATTCAGGTGGGACTAGTGTCAAGATTAAGAGGTGTTCAGGTCTGCTTGTTCATGAATGAGGGTTCCCTTCATTCAGGGGATTAATGCCCTTCTATAGAAGCCTGCACTGCACATAGCTTGGGGGTGGGGGGGGGTAAGAGTTGGGGAGCTTGCCCTTTGACATTCTGCATATGAGGACTTGGAATTCCTCCCCCTCTGGAGAAGGCAGGTTTCACCAGCCAGCAGAACGTGTCAGCACCCTGGTTTCAGTCTTCTCAGCTCCAGAAATGTGAGAAAGAATTTCTATCCATTATAAAGCACCCATCTGTGTTGGTGGGATAACAACACAAAACGAGCTCAGAATCACCTTTTGGAAAACGAAACACACTTGGTAAAGAACTTCATCTTGTAGTAGTACTCCACTAGAGTCCCCTGCGCGTAGACGTTCCCTCGCTCAGCGGCTTCCCGCAAGCAGTGCAGGGCGGCTTCTGTGTCTTGGCGGATTCCCTGTCCGTAGAAGTACATGAGGCCAAGTGCACCTTGGGACTCCAGGTTTCCATTGCCACAAGCTTCCGAATGCCAGAAAAAAGCCTGAGAAATCACAATTTCATTATATTATCAGCATGATGAAATTATGAGAGTTCTAGAAAGAAAAATTCTAACTATAATTGTATCATTATTGGACATATTTCCAGGAATTAGTTGTCCAGGGTTGTCCTGGACTATATGTATGGGCATGGAAGACATGTGCTTTAATATTCTAAGGTGAGTTTCACAGGTCAGCGTTGTTCCTGGCAGATGAAGGTCCTCTGTCTTGGGTTTCAAGCTTTGCAAGTTTAGCAGAGTAAAGGTGGAGAAGGTATAGCCTAGGAACTGACGGAAGGTTTGCACCTGCAAGGAGGTGCACTCAAAGAATCCCCAGTGATGCTAAGGAAGAGCTAGAGTGAGTGTGTGTGTGAATGTGTGTGTGTGTGTGTGTGTGTGTGTGTGTGTGTGTGTCTTCCTGTTGCTATCAGGAAAGAAGGCTTGTTTGGGCTCACAGTTCCTTCCCTCAGTGGCAGGGAAGGCTTGGTGTCAGGAGCATGAGGTAGCTCGCCGCTCATACTGCCTCCACATTCAGGAAGCAGAGAGTGGGTAGGAAGTGGAACCAGGTTGTAAACCTCAAACTCTGCCTCCTTCCACTTCCTCCAGTGAGGTTCCACTTCCTAAAGATTCCACAACTCTCCAAAACAGCGCCACCAGCCTGGCCAAATAAATGTTGAAACATAGGAATCTATTGGGTCATTTTACACTCAAACCACAGCAGAGTTCCGGCTGGATCGCAGCAGGTGCTGGCTGCCAAAAGTCAGAGACCACTTAGATGGAGCATCGTTTGGATTTGTTACTTTTCTCATGTCGATGGCCAAATACCAGACATGTAAGAGAATGGCTTATTCTGGCTCAGTTTGAGAAGTGTACAGCCCATCATGAGGGACAGTCACAGAGGCAGAAGCTTGAGAAGGCTGGTCACACTGCAACCCCAATAGAAAGAGAGACAGATGAATGTCCTTGCTCAACTAGAGTGCTAATTCTTACTTACTTTTTACATTTATGCGTTAGTGTGTGTGTGTGTGTGTGTGTGTGTGTGTGTATGCGTGCATGCATGTTCGAACTCACATGCATAAGCACGTGATGTGTGGGAGTTGGTTCTCTCCTTTCTCATGCAGGTTCTGAGGATCAAACTCAGGTTGTCAGGCTTCCCAGCAAGCATATCTAATGCTGAGCCATCACTGGCCCAGCTGACTTGTTTTTGTGGTCTGAAGGTCTAGCCTAAGGAGCAGAACCACCCACATTTAGAGGAGGTCTTCTGATGTCATCCTAACCTAGATAATCTCTCACACATAAGTTCATCGATCCTTAGTAATTCTATCTCCTGATTAATTACCGTTTGCCTAACACTGAGTCTGATTTAAAGAAAGTAGGTCCATGTGGTTGTTGGAACATTCCTGCCTGTTACCTGCCTTTTAGGAATTTGCCATTAACCCTTCACTGACCAGTAGGACTCAGCCTGACATTTTCTTCTTGTAGGATTTTTTTCCAGTCATCTTTGTGAGAGTGTATTTTGTCAGAAATACCGTGGCTTTAGCTTTTATATCCATGTGTGCTTTACTCAGCCGGCCTTTAGTACTTCCTTAAATCAAGAGGAACATTACTTTTCTCGTGCTCAAATGAGCCTGGCCATTATTTCAGGAATGCCTCTTTTATTTTTTATTTTTTTTAGTTTTTGTAGTGTTGTGCTTTGTTTATGTAACCTTTTCTAGCATACAACAGGTTCTCATATCCGTAGTTTCCTTTGGTAAAAGCAGGAAAGGCAGAGACTGTTCAGACAGGAAAGGTTTGAGCTGAGCTTTGAGATTTTTGATGCTCAATCTTGACTGTACATTTGATTGGGCTGAGAAATTCTGAGACAATGCAGCACACATCTGGGTATAGAGAAGCACTTCTGGAAGGGAGCACCCTGTCTCTGCTTCGGGCTGCAGTGAGGTGAGCAGTAAGTTGCTCCATCAGATATTTGTCAGGATGACAGAAAGTCTGACACAAGGTCCTGGAGTGTGAACTTCCTTCACCTTGTGTAGGAGACCTTAGACATACATACCGAAGCCTACTCATTCCACAGATTCTTCCCTGAAGAGAACTGGGGAAACAGTTATTAACCTCGATATAAACAATTATCAACCTAGATACACTGCTAGTATTAAAAAGAAAGAAGGGGGTGAGGAAGCATCCGAGTACGGAGCTGGGTTGCAAAGGACTGGCCGAGGAACCTGGACTAGGCCACGGCGTGACAAAAGCGTGTCCAGCGGGGCCAGCAGAAGCCACGCAGGGGTTTCAGGGACTTTGAATATGTCGGGGATTGCCCTCAGCCGACTTGCGCAGGAAAGGAAAGCTTGGAGGAAGGAACACCCTTTTGGCTTTGTGGGTGTCCCAACAAAGAACCCTGATGGCACGATGAACCTGATGAACTGGGAGTGCGCTATCCCTGGGAAGAAGGGGACTCCGTGGGAAGGAGGCTTGTTCAAGCTACAGATGTTTTTCAAAGATGATTATCCATCCTCACCACCAAAATGTAAATTCGAGCCTCCACTGTTTCATCCAAACGTGTATCCTTCTGGCACAGTGTGCCTGTCCATCCTGGAAGAAGACAAGGACTGGAGGCCAGCTATCACGATCAAACAGATCTTATTAGGAATAAAAGAACTTCTAAATGAACCAAATATTCAAGACCCAGTTCAAGCAGAGGCCTACACAATTTACTGCCAAAACAGAGTGGAATATGAGAAAAGGGTTCGAGCACAAGCGAAGAAGTTTGCCCCCTCATAAGCAGCGGCCTGGGCTCCATGACGAGGAAGGGATTGGCATGGCAAGAACTTGTTTACAACCTTTTGCAGATCTAAGTCGCTCCGTACAGTTACTAGTCGCCTGGGAGGGTTGAGCGGGCACCATTTTCCATTTCCGCCACTGGCATATACAGTCTCAATTCGCTGAATTGCCCCAGTTTTTCATACAGGGTCTCTTCCTTCAGTCTTTTGTATTTTTGATTGTTAAGTAAAACTTGCTTTTATTTTAATATTGATGTCAGTATTTCAACTGCTGTAAAATGATAAACTTTTGTACTTGGTAACCCCCCTAGGAGTGTCGCCCTCGGATGCACGCATGCTTCCCACTGAGCTCTGGCCTCCAGCTGGCTGTATGACAGAACCACACTGTCCCTCCTTCCCCACCCTCGTCCTTCTCAGAAACCTGGGCTGTTGCTTATGAGCCTCAGATCCAAAGTTGGCCAGCATCTCCATTCTGCACCACTTCCTTTGTGTTTATATGGTGTTTTGTCTGTGTTGCTGTTTAGAGTAAATAAACTGTTTGTATAAAGGTAAAAAAAAACAAAAAAGAAAGAAAGAAGGTTGAGGTGTGGTTCAGCATAGGTGAGGCTGAGGAGTCTGCCAATACCAAATAAACACAAGTCTTAAATGGGACTGGGCAGTTACCTTTTCTAACTCTTTGGGCTCTTTCATTGAATAAAACAATCCTAGAATACTTTGCGCCTTCACACTAGCTTTTGGGTTTCCATTGTCGGCAGCAAACAGCCACAGTCTGAAAGAGACACCAAGAGAGGTTAGTCTTTGGTTGAGCATTTTAGCAGCACAAACGCCTTAACTCGATGGAAGATTACCTCTCTGCTTCCTCGTCTGATCGCTTCACCCCTTTTCCTTCAAAATAAGCTCTTCCGAGGTTGTAAGCAGCAGCAAATTTCAAGTGTATTGTCTGGGGGCATGAAGAATCGAGGATTTTCTTCATATACTTCACTCCTTTTTCCTTCCACAAAGGAAAAGAACGAACAAACAAAAACACTAGTTATTAGTTTACTCAAACAGGATGAATGTCTTTCTTCCTGTATATCGTTCAAGTATTAACATGGTGTGTGCAAATCACAAATCAGTGCTTAGGAGTATAATGGCTCTGGATGTTCAGGGATGAAGAAAAGGAAGGAGAGGTTGTGTAAAAGTATGTGCTGGTCAGGCATTCCTGTGGGCCATGGGGTAGATGATCTTATACTCTGTCTCTCCATCCGACCTGTGCTGAGGGTGCTCATTAGTAACAAATGTCCAAATGTCTGTCTTCTTCATATGACAGCTGCACAGCCACAGCTGGCATTTTAATTACAAGTGACAAAACATCTCCTTTGGGTAAAGACACTTGTGAATAAACTTAATAATTTGACTTTGATAGTGGAAGAAGAGTTCTCCTCTGACATCTGTATGTGTGCGTGTGTGTGTGTGTGTGTGTGTGTGTGTGTGTGTGTGCGCGCGCGCGCGCACACGTGCGCACATGTATGTGTGTATACCATGCTGCTTTTGCAGAGGACTCTAGTTTGAGTCCCAGCACCCAAGTTGTTGCTCATATTCACCTGTAACTCCAGCTCCAGGATATCTGATCTCCACAGGCACCTGTGCATATGTGCCTGTGTGCTCTCACACACATACACAACTAAAAATAAAATCTTTTGTTTTAAAATAAAAGAACATCACTAAGGCATACCCTTAGGACACCAAAAGGTCACCTAAGTTGACGGTTCCTTGGTCAACTGCCCTTCTCTCAGAATCTGCCCCTTCAGTTTTTCCAGTCCAGACTGTGTCTATTCCATGGTGTTACTACTCTTCAGAAATGACTTGTGTTAGCCAAACCGAGTCAGCTAAATTGCTGGCTTTGGACAGGTTCTTTCCTGACCCATGCACCACAGTGTCCAGTCATTTCTGGGTCTGCAGGAATGTTTGTCTGATTTCCTTTCTTTTGATCCTTGGTCATCATTTAAGTCTCTGCTTGAATGTGACTCCTCTGTCTGATGTTCTGTAATCAATGTCCTTTGGTTTCTCAACCAATACCTGCCATTTCAGACCCTCCCCATAGCCTCAAGTTTGTTCTCCTGACCTGGCTGTTAATCCTGAGGGTAGAAGGACATAGCAGACAGCCCGAGGCTAAGGCCCCTGAGAGAGGTCTGTTGGGAGCCTTGAGTTTAGTTGGTAACTTCAACCATCGCAGCTGGACCATTTTGGAGAGCATACAAGGTAAGTTGTCAAGGCACCCAAATTCTCATGTATTCTGAATTCCACAATGCTGCTTTCAGTTTCCCCCTCTTCTTCTGTTGCTCTCCCACTTAAACTGTTTGTGGATGAATAAAATCCCCACATCCTGAGTCTTTTCTTCACTCTGTTTGCTTTCCCTGACTAAACTTTGTGGTCCCATGAAACCATCTTTAGTGAAGGTAATACATAGAATCTCCCATTATAACATTAAATATGTATAATATTAAATATATAATAACACTAAAGACATTATAATATTAAATAGATTATAATATCAAATACATATGTTAAATTTGTTCTAATGTTAAATATTTTATAATATTAAATATAATATTAACTATGTATATTAAATGTTTTAATATTAAATATATTATAATATTAAATGCATATGTTAAATCTGTTCTAATATTAAATATAATATTAAATATGTATAGTGTTAAATATGTTCTAATATTAAATATATTATAATATTAAATTAATATAATGTTAAATATGTTCTAATATTAAATATGTTATAATATTAAATGTATTACAGTGCTCAAAGATGGAGCTGGCTTTATTTTCACTTTCTTAGCTTCCTCATTTCTACCCTACATGTAAGATAAAGTAACTACCTTATAGTTCAGAGAACCCACAACTTTTTTAGTCCTGTCATTTTCCTGGTCACAGGTTATGCCCCAACATGAGCAGGAAGGCTTTGTCTGAGAAGATAGATTCTTTCTTTAGTAAAGTTCCTTGGAAACCCACTGAAATTAAGACCTTGATAACAGTGTCAGCATGCGACCACAAGGTCAGATATTTGCCCAGTTTGCTATAGGTCTGATACCTGGGCATATTGCGATGAACAAAGTAGACAAAGCTCCTGACTTGTGAGGCTGTGTCCCAGTGAGAGATAAAGAAGTTAACATTAAGTAGCCATTGCAGCTATGAAGAAATTAAGGGTGCTATTTTACAGTCCAATCATAGCAAGCATCTAAGAAGAAAACATCTTAGTAATTACCAGGATTAACAGAAGGCAAATGAAAGAAAGATAATGATGCTCTGTTCCCACAGAAAGATGGGACCAACCTACTTGTCTTTCAGGAGAAGACAAAGCAAACAACGCATAGAAAGAGACAAGAACAGGTCAGAAAGGAGTTGGTAAGGTTTTGCAGACTCATGAGATAGCTCAGCCAGGAAGCAATCCCTCACAGATGATAACAGAAATGAACAAGTCAAAGATTAAAGCTGGCGGTTTATTATCTCTTTGAGAAGTTTAAACTGTTCCTTTTTTGATAAATTCTTTCTGGTTAGATATGAATATTTTTAAAGATTTTAGAAAGATGTCTGTAATTTCCTTAGTACTTATTTCTAAATCCCATGTTAAATGACCCTTTAATAATTGTAATGGTTGAATCTTGATATGATTTAAATGTAAGCAGGGTGGCACTGAGTTAGAAAGCACAGATAAACATAAAACCAGTACTTAGAAATCACTTTCATTCTAGAGAAAGACATGGAAAGTTGCAGAGTTAATGTGTCATGAGTATGTTATACTCACCCATAATTGCTTGCTTCCTCACCCATAATTCCTGTTAGGTCTTCCAATTCTTGACTAATTTTGCTAGTCAACTGACTGATACCTTGTTCCTTCAATGATAGCAAAAAGAAGCATATAGACTGGCCAGAGAGTGATCATCATATTGGGTCTTGAGACTTTTAGCTATCTTTTGTTTTACATTTTATATTTATATTTATATTTCATTAGTGTATGTATATATGTATGTATGCATGCATGGATGTATGTGAGGGGTGAGCACATCGTGTGTGTGTGTGTGTGTGTGTGTGTGTGTGTGTGTGTTGAGGGCCATCGGCCACAGTCTACCGGGTTCACCTGAAAGAGAGGCTGGGAATGGAAGAGGGACAGGAGGGCGAGAAGAGATGAAGCCAGGACAAAGGTTTCTGATCGAGGCTCAATGATTTAATGTTCAGCTTCTAATTTAAAGGGGATAACCTACCCCTTCTCGGCACTGTGTGTGTGTGTGTGTGTGTGTGTGTGTGTGTGTAGGTCAAAAGACAACTTGGGGGAGTCAGTTCTCTCCTTCTAACATGTAAGTCCCAGGGAGTGAATTCAAACCCTGAGGTTTGGCAGTAAGCACTGTTACCCACTGAGCCATCTCACATTGATACATTCTGATATTCTGATAACATTCTTTCAAAGCACATTGGGTTTTGTAATAATTTAATGCTGATATAAAAATAATATCCTTGACAATCTAGTGGGTCAAGGAAACCAGCTGTATAAAGGAGAACACACCCGGTCTTCCCTGTGTTGTGTACCGTGCTATTGAATAAATGCAACAAGTCAAGGGAGGACAAATTGTGTGACAGCCTTGTTTTGCTTGATGTTAAAATATCTGAATCAATCACGGAGTCAATAAGTGTGATGCTTTCGAGTCATCTGCACCTCGGCTTACTAGCGATTAATCGTGCTCAAGTGTTTTCTGGAGTGAATTTTAATACTGTTCCCTAAAAGCTGATTTATTATTTGAGGACATGAAAGGCCGATGAGGCGAGGATGTCTATTTGCATTTTGGACCATAATTATTTTACTTTATTCAGTTCGCAGAGCTGGAATAGAACTAGAACACCACATGGGCCAACAGCTACTCCCCTGAGCTAAACTCCCAGCCCTTGACTTCAGTAATTTAATGCATACTGTAGACTTTAATGGGTGATTGAACTGGAAACTGCTTCAGAGGTACAGTTAGGATGTTCTATTGAGACTGAGAGCCGTATTTGAGTCCTGTCTCCTATGTATAATTTTATAGCCACTAAGTGACTTATTTATCTCCAGCACTGTTAATGGGCAATTGTTGGCTACCCATATTTTCTATGTTTATTTTAGTTGATAGGCTGACTTGCCTGGAGAAGCTGAATTTCAGCTTCTAAAAGACGTCTCCCAACTTTGGTCAAGTTGCTTCCTCTATCTAAACACTATTCTTTCCCACTATGCTAAAAAGCAGTTTATGTCACCTATTTGATGAAAACTTCCCTGACCACACCTTTGTATCTGGCACATGTGTCTATCTTAGTCCACAACACTTAGCTTCACTAATAGACTGCCTCAGATTGCCAATCCCTTTCCTACTTATCTTTGATTACGCAGCTCCTCTGACTGTTTTGACATCATCCATAATGTTTAGGCATTAGAGACTGAGCAAATAATACATTAAGCCAATGAAATTAGTTTGTGCTGTTTACAATGCTAAGCATATAACTCACTGGCTGTGTAGTAAGTCCTCCTGACACAGAAAGTAGAGATGGATCTTTCAAGCTTTGTTTATGTTAGTCATTCAAGGGCAGAAGAGGGCATCAGATATCCTGCACTGGAGTCACAGATAGTTGTGAGCTGCCATGTGGGTGCTGGGAATTGAACCCAAGGCCTCTGGAAGAGCAACCAGTACTCTTAGCCACTGAGCCATCTCTTCAATTTGTTTGTCGTTTTAAAATTATTTTAAATCATATATTCATGTATATACGTATCCGTGTACGTGTGTTGTGGGGTCACATTTGAATATGGTGCCCGAGGAGTTCAGAAGAGGATGTTGGTTCCCCTGGAGCTGGAGATAAAGGTACTTGTGAGCTGTCCAACTTAGGTGCTGGTAACAGAACCTGGGTCCTTTATAAAGAGCAGTACATGGTCATAATCACTCAGCCAACACTCTAGCCCTCTTCAAGATAAATGTTAAGAATAACTATAAACCCTATGAAGGATACTAAGGCACAAAGAAACTCTACTGCTTCAAATATTAATTTGAATACCAATTTCTAATTTCTATATTTGTAGATGACTTGGATGTAGAATTGGTATATATTGTATGATCATTTTTGAAAGTGTTTATGTATATAAATAAATATGTATGTATGTGTGTTATATGTATGTGCATAGACACATACACACACAGCATACACACATGTCTTCTTTTGTCCTTGGTGATTAGTTCCAAGACCTTCCTGTGCACAAAAGCCACAGATGGAAGCTCCGGTCTCTACACAAAGTGACATAATGTATATAACCAAGATACATCCTGTCATACATTTTGTTATTATAGGTTGCTTCTAAAAATACACACAGGAAACTCTAATTCCATTTCTATGTTTTTAATTTTTATTACGCCTTAAAATAAAATTTTAGTGTAGGCACACACCTGCCATGGTGCATGTGCAGAGGCCAGAGGACAAGTTTGGTGACTTAATTCTCTTCTTTTACCATGAGGTGGAGATATTGAGCCCAGGCTCGCTGGCTTGCTTGGCAAGCCCCTTTACCCTCTTTGCCATGTCGTTGACCCATGTTATGTTCTAACTTAAGAATTTTGGGAGTCCTTTGTTAAAAACTATAACCTCTGTCACCATATTAATGCTTGTATCATAATTGTGTAACAATAGAAAGTATTCACATTTGATGTGAATTGATTAACAAGGGATTCAATTCCTAGTTTCTAAATCTTACCCATATCCATATAGCTTTGTAACCATTTTTTTTTAATGAGGGAAAATATTTTCAACAGCATGTTAAGAGCTAATGATAGGAAGAAACTGTTTTGTTGTGAATTACAGAAGTTTACAAATGACCCTCAAAAACTAACATCATGCAACTAAGAAAATCTATGTCAAAAAATCAATGTAATTTTTCAGGCAAGATGATCAAAATCTCTCCCCATGCAGAATGCTTGTTTTCGACTTTGGTCTCTCAAAATTTAAAACTATAGACATTTGTACTATTTGTACAGTATATAAGAATTACTTTATGTAAGTTTTCTGTAAAATTCCTAATGTGAGAGTTGATGGGAGAGCTATCATCTTTCCTGGAAACAGAGAAGGGCATATTGGTAACCGTGAGAACAATGCTCGGAGAAAGGATCTGAGCACCTGCTCTTCCTGGACCACAGTAAAGTGAACTCAGTGGTAAACTATGTTCTTCAGGAGAGATGGAATGGTCTGAGTGGCAGTGGATGTTATCACACCAGACCTGCTCACCATGTGAACAAAAATATAGAAGCACTGTCAACATGGAAGCCTTTTTTGAGGATAACTCCTTGTTCATATGGAAGAAGAAATCACTGGAAAGATACAGCATGCCTGTAGTAGTTGGGAATGGTCATTCAGTTCAAATACAAAGAGGCTCATTGTTTGACAGTTGAATTTAGTTATGTCAAGAAGCTTCTAGTTTAGGTTTGGAGCTGAACAGGGACAATGTGGAACAGGAAATTCCAAAGAGAAACTAACTCTGTCTTTTATATATGTGTACAGTGATGTCAGTATCCATTAGAATACTAAAATGAAATATTAATGTTAAAATAGAGATTTTTTAAAAATATAAGTCAATTGCATCAAATAGCCCTTGGCAGTGAGATCTTAAACACCACGGACAAAACGATAACTTACAGCATTTGCGGTGGTCCCCAGCCCATCATAATACATCACTCCTAGCTGATAAATTGCTTGATGGTCTTTCTCCTGGATTTCCTCAAACTGTGCTAAGGCTTCTTCATACCATCCCTGAAAGCCACAGAGAGGATTTCATTTTATTATGTGTTTATAGTAAACCCAAACAGAAGCATACAATGGTCATTTCTGCCTAAGGATACAGTTAACACATTATTCAGCCATACTGGAACTGAAGGCCCAAACTGAAAAGACGGTATCTTAGGCCAAGGCCATCTCAGAGAGGTTGTGAAAACAAGCCTTCAGAAGATATTTATAGAGTAAATGAAGGTACCAATATCAAAACGTTAGAGAAAGCAGAACTGGTGACTAACAATTTACTGAGTACTCAAAGGCTCATGAGGGGTTGGGGGCCATCCTTCGGAATCTAATGAATAACTGAAGCTTTATTACTGGAGCTAACATGATACCACACAGGAGATTTTTATCTCTACCTACAGAGCTATCCCACCACAATGTAGATAAATAAGGAAATAGTCTCCTCATGCTGTATAGGATATATGAAAAGCTACATTTCATACCAAATAATCAGGAACTTCAATTATTGTTCATATGCAAATAGCTTATGAATGATACTACATATTATGAATAAAACCATAAAACTTACATTATCAACTTACAGTGTGGAGATGGATTTTCCAAAATGATGCCTTTGAATAACTTTTGTGAAGAAGGTTCAGATATCGCCTTAATCTTATATCTGTGTGCCACACTTAGAGCCGCAACCACTGCCTATGTGATTTCGCTGGCATAACAGTGTAAGAGACTGACTTGAAAGTTTGCGGGGACCATCTTCTGCCTCTGCTTTGTGTGTGTATGATGCTGGGGGTGGAACCCAGGGTCTTGTCAGCCCTGTCCAACTGCTCCACTACTATACTAACAACCCCAACAATCCTAACAAAACAATTATGCCAAAAGAAGAAGGAGAAGGAGAAGAAGGAGAAGGAGAAGGAGAAGGAGAAGGAGAAGGAGAAGGAGAAGGAGAAGGAGAAGGAGAAGGAGAAGGAGAAGGGAAAAGAAAGAAAAGATAAAGACCAAAAAACTACTGGTACCTCTTCAAAATAGAGTTGGCCTCTTAGAAAATATGCCATAGCATCCCCTCTTCTTATTCTTTCTTTCAGGAACTGCAATGCTGTATCCACCAAATTAGCGTGGCGGTAATAATCTGATTTAGAAAGTTAAAGACTGTGTTAACTATATGATGAAGGTTCTCTCTTGAAGCCACACATAACATAGAATTCATTAGATGCTGTTAATCTCAGTTTCTTTCCAACTTCTAATTCCTAAAGCTTAGCTCAGAGAAAGAATATAACCTAAATAGAATCATGATCACAGTACAACACACACCTGGCATAATCAAGAAATGCTTATTGCGTTTGGGACTAGAGCTTACTGCCAGAGACCCCAATGCAGTCTCTGCATGCACTGTGCAAAGCTGTCTGTGAGTGAGTTAAATTCTTAGCCTGAGCCATATTAGGACTACTAATCAAGTGAGCTAGCTGGCCATTTCCAGTTTAGCTTTTAAAGCTTACATAAAATTAGCTTTAAATATCCATTTGAAGCAAAGCACAGTGTTGCACTCTCTGAGGGAAGCAACATCTGGCATCTCTTTTTTAGGATGAATCCTTAAGTGCTGAGGGTGAAAATATAATCAGGCTTGAATTTTGACACCTCCAGGGTTAGTTTGCTGTCTGAGTCAGGTCACTAATCTGCAGGAAAGCCAGAAAGGATTATAACATTAACCACCTCCCGGACACCAGGTGTATGGTTTTTTTGTTTGTGTGTTTTGTTTGTTGTTGTTTGTTCTGTTTATTCTAGCATACATGGAATTTCAGTAAAAATATTTTCCAAACAAAAATTAAATATTCAGATTTATACCAGGCTTTTCCTTCTTCCATTGGAAGAATTTTTGTTGTTTAGCAGCATACTGAGATAGAGAGAAAGGGTTTTTGGGCAACTTCTCACTGGTCAGTTTCATCCTGTTTCTACAATGTGGATTCTGTAAACAAGAACACATATGGTGATTACAATTTCTTCTTCCAGGAAAGCACAAAGAAAGACTTCACTCCCAGTTGGAACCCATCACTAAAGCATCTGCCCCACATTGCCTGGCCAAGGGACCCTGAGCTAGCAATAAATCCTGTCTGGCTATGGATTTACACTTGGCAGGGAGTCCTGTCACTCCCAACTGCTGCCACTCAGTGGCAACACACTACACTGCTCACAGTCCCTGACACCGAGGACTTTCCTGTTACTCTTTAGCTGAAACTGGCCAGAGTAATCCATCTCAGATGAAAGCACATGTCTGTTTTACCTGGGAATACACTGTATTTTATCTCTGTTGCTCAGTTTTCTCTTCCAGTCTGTATTGGAATGGCATGTTACCAGATGGATCACTGCTGTATGGTAAATCAGAGCCTTCATATAAAATGTAGGGGCCACCTCATTTGGGTTGAAGGAGTCCAGGTTGGCCTAAGCTGAGAGTAGTGAAGACAGCAAACTCTGTTGTTGCTATGCTTTTTTTTTTTCTTTCTTTTTTGGTCTTTGACATTCTACTGTTTCAACTTACTTCCACCAATCAGGAACCAGCTCCCAGGCAAGGTCTCTCTAATTGGTGGTCTACAGAAGCTCTTAAGAGAAGCTTTGTGTGATTGGAAAGCTATATTTACATACTTACAGGATACTATTTTAGGCAATACACTGCATCATTGGATGAGAGTGGGACTCAAAAAAAGAGAAATGGTTTACTAAATTAGAAAAAAAAACACTGAAATGTCTGTAAGTGAGAGGAGCTAATTAAGAGTTAATTTCTTTATCTGTAGTTTGAAATAAAGGGTCTTAAAGTGTCCTTTCCTTGATATACAAAGTTAATGGGCCCAACATGGGGGCAAAATGTCTTTAATTCTAGCACTCAGGATGCTGAGGTTAACAGATACCTGTTAGTACAAGGCCAGCCTGGTCGACACAATGTGTCCCTGTCCACAACCAAACAAAAAAACAAACAAAGTTACTGGTTACTGGGCTGGAGAGATGGTTCAACAGTTAAGAGGACCAGGGTTTAGTTCCTAGCCAACCACATGGCATCTCACAACTGTCCGTAAAGCAGTTCCAGGGGATTGGAGGCCCTCTTCTGGCTTGTTCAGGCACTAGACACACATACATACACACATGCAGGCAAACACTCATACACATACTCATACACATAAAATAAAAAAATTAATTAAAACAAAAAACCAAGTGTTTCCAGAGGATCTGAACTTCGTTCCCAGAAGTCTCTTTGTAGCTCCAGCTCTAGGGAATGACCACCCTCTTTTGGGCCCTGCTGGCACCCTACACGAGTGACATCTCTGCATGCAGACACACATACACATACACATACTCATAAAAATAAATCTTTGAAAAGTAAAGTAATTGTATTACGTATATTTTAAAATCTAAGTTTCTACTAAAGAATATAAAATTCCCAATAAACAAAGCCACATGTGTAAGATATATAGAAGAAAGCAATTCCAATGTGACAGCCTACTGTCAACCACCACTCACCAACTAGATGAAGAGATTTTATTTCTCTGAAGACGTTAATACAGTGTGCTACTATCTAAAAAAGTTTAGAGCAGTGGTTCTCAACCTTCCTAATGCTGTGACCCTTTAATACAGTCCCTCATGTTGTGGTGACCCTCAGTCATGATATTATTTCATTGCTACTTCATAACTATAGTTTCGGTAGTGCTATGAGTTGTAAATATCTGATACACAACTCCAAGGGGTCACAGTGCATGGGGGTTGAGAACCACTAGTTTAGAGAAACATCTGAAAATTCAAGGCAGGGCATTAGATAGAAAACAAAGCACAAACAGCATTTGAACTCATAAATAACGGAAACTTCATTTAAACTCACATTTTTTTTTCTGGCTACAATACTGCACATGGTTTCTGTTGTTTTAGCGGCTTAAAAAGAAATATGTCACAGGGTCTGAAAAAGAAGAAAAAAGATCGCACTCAGCATCTACTGAATGTCAGGCTTTGCTTCTTTCTAGGTGCGTTATAAGTGCTGGCTCCTGTAAAACCTGAGGAAATAGAGACCAGTTTGAGCACTGTTGAATACACAAGGAAACTGTCAGGGCAGGGAGCTGATTTACCTAATCTCCAAGGGCTGGTTAGCAAGGCCCTACCCACCCATGTATTATTTTGTTTCATCTCTTAAAACAAAAAGCAAAGCAAACGTACTTTTTAATATGTGTTAGAAATGTGTGTCTTCCACTTTAAGAAGTTGGTTATTCTGACAAACTGACTCGGCAGTCTATATAAATCCATGCTACATCCTCTCACGTTTGTACCCTGGATACAGGTCTGACAACCCATGCTGTGAACACACGCCTCCTAGAGGGGAAATGCTAGCCTGGCTCCCCAAAGATACTATCAAAGTGAGCCTGATGCATGGTTGGGGATTTTCTCTGAAATCTTGGTCCCCTGCCCCATACTGTTCATTGCAGCTGTCTTTCTTATTTTTTTGACTTTAATCTATGTCTCTGAATTGTCTCAAAATAGCTATGACTGTTCTCCCACCCCAAGGCCTGATCGTTGTTCCTATAGTCACGAGGCTGTCCCTAACAAAGCTAATTTCTGAAGGGTCATTTCTGCTCTGATTTCTAGCACACAGGAGTGCTAGAAGAGGGTAAGTCAGATTCAGTACTTTTTAAGATGAGGAGACAGAACTAAGAAAAGATTTGAAATCTGATGTATTTATTTATATTTATGTATGTATTTATTCTGCCAAATTTTGACAATAAGCATAAAAATCACCAGAAGGCTTGTAGTCAGGTCATTTGACCTGAGTTGTATCATCCATAAATATGTTTAGACTTTGGGTGCAGTGAAGAAATAAGAATGTATATACAGTATTTCTTCTGTAATCCGTTCTACTCCTTAATTATGAATATTTATGTGATCTTTCTTCTCCTTTTCCCCTCTGTTCTTGAAGAATTATGGGAATCCTATTTTAAAATAGCCAATTTCAGAAAATGGAGTCAATCTATTATAAAGAGCATTATATTTTTCAGAATCATAATTTGAGAATTACAAAAATGAAAAGTAGATATCAGTGTCATAAGATTAGTTAAGAAATGACGTATGAGATTCTTCAAGGCAGGCAACAACAACAAAACAAAACAAAAACAAAACACAAAAAACTTCTGTCAGAGTGCCCTTATCTGTACCTAAGGCAGAAGTCTGTGAAAACAGAAATGACAATAATACATCCTTTTTGGCTTCTTCATACCAGGAAGGAGAGAAAGAACCATGATTCTTCCCATGTGGGGTTTTATTATTAGAGAACAAGACAGAAAAGCTCACTTGCTGTAGCATGAATCAAACATCGTGCATGCTTCCTATCTGCTTTTAGTTTTTCACTAAATGTCGTTTGTTTTTCGGTCAAGTCTATACTGTCTCCCCTTCTACTATGGAACTACATATACAGATGTAAAAAAAAAAAAATCACCGGAAGCTTACCAGCTGTGTGCCTACTATGCTGTAAACTTAGAATGTCCTGTTGTAGAAACTGGGGATTCATTCGTAACATAATCGGAAGAGAACCCATGATTTTGAATTTTTTATAACATTTCTTTCTTTCTTTCTTTCTTTCTTTCTTTCTTTCTTTCTTTCTTT